GGAGTATCCTTGCGTAGGAATGTCCCCTGTGTAGATTACATGTGCCTGGCAACATTGGCTGGCTGGAGCTGGAATAGGCAGAGGTTGGTGGTTTCTGGGCACTTTGTCCAGGGTCACCCTGCTGAGATGGTTGGAGCTGTGGTAGGTATGAGCCAAAAGGTTCCAGGGGTTCTAACTCAGAGCCACCCTGGCAGGACAGCTGAAAATGGGAGTAAGGATAGGCCAGGTACTCCTGTGATGCTCCATGGGGCCATGGTGACAGAACATCTGGAGCTAGTATGGGGGCTAGTATGAGTTCCAAGGTACTCCATACTGGAGCCACTTTGGCAAAACAGCTGAAAGTGGAGCAAGCATGACCCTGGTGGTCCTGGAATGCTCCAGGTTGGTGCCACCCTGGCAGTATGGCTAGAGCTGAGGTGGATACAGGCTGGGGCCCTCCATGCAGGGGGTGCACTGGTGGGACCACTGCAGCTGAAGTGGGCATGGGCCAGTGGGCCTCAGGATGTTCTATGCCACAGGCACCCTGGTGGGATGGATGAAGCTGGGGAGAGCATGGGCAGGCAGGCCTCTTAAGGGGAATGGCTAGAGCCAGTGTGGGCTAGGGGCCAAGGTTCACTGAGGTGGTGGGCCAGCCAGAATGTCTGGGCCCTGCTCCCATCTGTGCTATCAACAGAGAGGAAACATAAGAGTGGTGCTCGCCAGTGCTGCCAAACGCAGAGACAGTTCCAGAAGTTGCTCCCCAACATTGGTGGACCCTCTCACACTAGTAAATGTGTTTCCTTACGTATAGTCTAATTGCCCTTGAAACCACTGGTTTTTTGGGGGGAGGGGAGATGTTGCTTTGCCACAGATCTGGGAAATCTGCATCTGGGTCCCTCAGTGCTGTCCCTATCATAGCTCCATGGCATCATGAGTGGGGTCCCCAACATTACTGTGTCTCCATTTCTCCTGCCATTTTCTATGTGGTCCCTCTATCCTTCATTGTGCAGCAGCTGTTCCATCTGCCCTTGGTTGCTTCTTCAGGAAGAATTCTTCTACATGTAGGTATAGATTCAGTGTGTCCATGGGAACAGGTGAGTTCAGGATTGTCCTATGCTGACACCTAAGACTCCTCCTCCTGTAACAGCATTGTAAAGGTGACATTTCTGGCATATTCTGGTGACATTTCTTCTTTTGATTTTGGGTGACAGTTCCTGCTTCTTTGCAGATATACTGCTTTTCAAATTTTAAGCTGTATGTTGTGTATTAAAGAACAGAGACTGAAGGAAATTAAAAGGTAGACCCAGCTCTCAGAAAGGTCACACCTTTTCCCATCAGGCAGCTATGCTGAGGGCCTGACCTCTTCACTAAATCAGATATTTAAACAGTTTCAGGTCCCCTTCTTGCTTCAAATATCTTGAAAGGGAAGTCTGTCCCCTACCTCCAGCAGGGCTTTGGGACTCAAATAGCAGAAAACCCAGGTTTCTAGCCTTGTCCTAATTCCAGTTTGGGTGATTTTATATCAGCTCCTTTCTCCCACCCACTTTCCCATATTTTGGCCCAGAATGGACTCATACATGTTAACACACAGCTCTTAGGCCTGGAGTCCATGGCTGCTTCTCCAACATTGAGCACAGGTCAGAACAGGGGAGGGGGAGTGTGAGCTGCATGGATACATGCTATATGAAGCCTGCAGAGGTTTCCCTGCAAATCCTTCAAATGACAGCAACTAACCCTTGAGCCCAGTGAAGGAGATCCCTTAGGTCCCCAAAAAGTCTCCTCTTCACTCTACCATGAAAAGCAAAAATAAGCTTTCCTTAGTGGATTCAGCTGAGAAGAAAACTTCTTCAGGGAACTGGAAGAATCTATAATTTGCATTTTAGACATCTGGGATCAAGATGGCCTTGAAGAGTGACTTTGGAATTTGAAAGACTGACAAACCTGGGTTTCAGAAACTGATAGTTGGCCATACATGCTAAGCATTGTAGTCCCTGCTGTCTGGAATTGTAAATGGTTGGCTTTAAATTGACTTAGAGCTCAGTGCTGTCTCTTGACCAGAGGGGCTGGTAGGTCATCCTCCTATGAGCATCAGCTTTTTGATTCTTGTAGCCAAAACACCCAATCACCTCGCTGGAAAGGGCTTCTCTGGCAGGAATGTCCAGCATTAGAACTGGAACCTTACTGCCTACTCTCCTCACTGTCTGTCACACAGAGAATCTCCTACAGCACTAGTAAGCCTGAGGAATGATTGCTGGTGCCACTGCGCCCAGGTCCCCTCCCACCACCACCACCACTTGTCAATCAATATGCCATGTCTGGACCAACAGACAAATCAAGGGGTGAGAGACATTCTTAATCTTGAGCCTCAGGGATTATGCCAGTTTGATGAGACTGCAGATAATGATGGCTGTCCTGTCCAGCGGTGTTGTTTGCCCCAGGCTCTCCTGTGACATAGGCATCATCTCACTCTACGCCATATTTTTGTTTTTATTTATAAGGCAGGTCCTAAATTTTTTTTTCTTTAAAGATTTTATTCCTTTATTTGACAGAGAGGGACACAAAGAAAGAGGGAACACGGCAGGGGGAATGGGAGAGAAAGAAGCAGGCTTCCCACAAAGCAGGGAGCCAGATGCAGGGCTCATCCCCAGGACCGCAGGATCATGACCTGAGCACAAGGCAGAAACTTAATGACTGAGCCAGCAAGGTGCCCCAGGCCCTAACTTTCATAGACATGTGCTTATTTAATAGTAGTTGAGGGTTAATCTTTTGAGCTTAAATATGAAACTTTTTGAGTACTCAGTCTAACAGCCTGACTGTCTTAAAGCAGCAATCAAAAGAAACCCGTCCAATGAGAGCAAAATATAAAACTATAGAACTGAACAGCATATGATTGTTCGCTGTAGAATTCTTTCCATTTTTCTGCACTTTTGAAATCTTTCACAAGTTGTTCGAGGGGAAGGGGATGATCATTTCAATAATGCTCTTGAACTTTGACTTCCTATGGAATTTTCACAGAGCCACTAGTGGGAAAACACATGTGTAGCCATGTCTGAAAGTTTATCATTTATAGATATAAAAAGAAAAAATTAACAAAGCCTTATTTTCTCTGAATAAAATTTAGAAAATAGACAGAAGAATCTCTTATAAGCTCACTAATGCAGGCATTAAAAACTTCCTCTATATTGTCTTTCCAATCCTGTTTGTGTATATTTAGTTTTGTGTTAATATTTTGTAAACCTTTTAAAAATTGTTAATTTGTTTAATGGCTATGTGGTGTTCTACCATATTAAGTTTTATAAATGTACCATACAATAGTTCCCAAAACTAATTACTCACAAAATCACCTGGGAACATTTTTTTTTTAAATACTTTCTTAGAACCCACATACTAAATAAGAATTTCCAAGGATGTTAAGGAATCTGAATTTTTGAAGCTTACCCTGTGATTGCAATGCATTTAATTAACCTACTTAATTAGTTAGCACATACTTTATTTATTTAATCCACTCTTGTTGAATATGGAGCGGTTTCCAAGCTTTTTACTATTGTAAACAATAATCACAATAATACCAATATCTGTAAAGACATGTACCAATCTTCATACACAGACATTTATTTCCCAAGGATATTAAAGTGGTTTGTTTGTTTTTAAAAAAAAAAAACCATTTAGTGATCATGGAATTGTAAAGTAACTGCAGTTTTCAGTGCTCACCCCACCACAAGCAGGGAACTCCATGGAAGATAGGCAATCCTCCCAGCTGACTTGACTACTTCAGAAGGGGTCCACTGGGAGATAAAGAGTCCTAATAACCCTAAAAAAGCAGCTCTCAAGAAGGGAGAGGTCTGCCTCCCTCTTGTCGCAATAATCACAAAGGTTCTCTCAAAAGGGCCCCCTTGAAACTATAATACTGAAGTTGGCTCTTACTATCTTCTGCTTTCTCATGCTGCTCTTTTAAAGTTCACATTTGGTAGTTCACATGGTATGGATCCCCAAGAGCAGTTTCTCAAGCTTAGTCCCATAGACTCCTAACTATTCTCATGCATCTACAAGTGCAATACATTTAAATGTAATTCCACTTTTATGTTAATATACATACAAGGTTCAGGTTCACCAGGACAAGCCACATGATAGCCACTGAATTCCAGAGCCTGCAGTCCTATGTTGAAGATCAAAATGGCTCAAGGTCACCACCCAAAAACAATTAAATCAATGTTTCCCAAACTAGGATCTGTGGACATAAAACCTCAGGGTTCCTAGACAATTTCTGCTCCCTTAAAAGGACTTTATAACTTACTGGAACTTTGACCCACTGAAAGTGGATGGGCTATACTGCTCTCCTGACCCGCACTCCGCAGAAATGAAGGCTGCACAGTGCTGCAAACCAGGTCACTTCGGAGACGTCTGCACTGGCCTCCCAGCCGCAATTCTTGACCCTTCCCCAGAACAATGGGCATCAGATCCTTGCCTTTTGACTTCCTGACAGAAACTAACATTCTGGGTCTCAAGAAAACGTTCAGACTATCAGGCCCAACCCACTCACAGTGATGGGAAAAGGGACGCTGGAGATGGGAAGCGAGGTCACACAGCTAGTTTAGCAGCAGGACAAAACTAGAGCCTAAGCCGCCCATCCCAACTTCAGTGCCTCGGCTACTCTGTAGAGACGGCTGATGAGCGACCCCATGGACCTCATTCCCACCATCCTTGTCCCATTTCCGTAGTCCCCTGATACCCAAAGTCCCCGGAGTCCTCTTCGGGTCGGCTGGCCCCGCTCTACTCCAGCTCTTCACAAGCAGTCCACACGCCCTAACCACAACTGGAGGTTTCTGGCCTTCCCCCGCCTACAGTACACGGGAGCTGAGAAAGTCCCACCAAGCATAGACACCGTCAAAACTAGCCGTGCCCATGGCGCAGCGGAGCCGCCACCCGGCGCAGGCGCCACCCTAGTTCGGCGCGCGTCAGTGATGTCACAGACGACGCCACCTGCGAGCCCGCGCGCATGCGACTCCAGGTGAGAGTTGCAGCGTCTCAGTCTGACGACTTGGCGTGGCGAGCGAGCTCGGGCACAATACCTCCCTCCAGCCCAAACTTTAACGAGAGAAGTTTTGATGACCGAGGGCTGCTGAGAAAAGTGAAGAGAGGTAAAGAGTGAGGGTAGCCCTCTGGAAGCGTCATCGGAACGCACCGGAAGCGGCCCGAGGATGACGAGTAAGCGAGGTTGAAGGCCTGTGAGAAGGGGAGGGGTGGGATGTAAAGGGTCGGGAACTTGGTGCTGGTAGGTGGACCGGTTCGCAGCGGAGACCGACTGAAACTGCTAGGGGAATTGTCCCGCCTTACATAAGGGAAACCGAGGCCCGGAGTCCCCATTGGCCTGGCGTAGTCTCTGCGCTGAAGATTGATGTCAGAGCTGGCGGCAGGTCCCCATGGGGCCCGCTCACTGTGCTAGAGGAGGGCCGAGGGCCTTGGGCCGACTTGGCCACTGCCTGCTATCTGCTGACAGTGGTAAAGGCCGGGATCCTCTCTACGACCTGGTTTCCCCTTCTGTGAGGTGCTGATGGTGGTTCCTGCCCCGCCGGCTGTTCTGTGAACGACCCTTGTCTGGTGGAAAACTCTGGGAGCCTGCTGAGGAATGGTATTCCTCCCAGGACTTTGGGAGTTGAGCGGAGAAGAGCTATGCCTAGGGAGGGAGCAAGCGCCAAGGGCAGTTATAAGCAGGGGAGTGTAGACACCATTAAAATTGGTCTTTGGACCAGTATGTTCATTTCCACCTCTGCCACTTCCTCTCTCTCTAATCAAGTTATGGGTCTCAGCAAATCTGAGCTTCAGTTTTCTCATGTGCATTATAGGAATAAAGATTGTTCAGAAAATATAATGAGATAAAATGTGTAGCTCTTAGCAGGTGCATGTCAAGTAATGAGTGCTCAGTAACTGTTAGATGTGTATTGTTCCAGAAAAGACTTCCAAGTCTAATCGGAGCACCTGTGACAGGTGAAGCAAAGTCATTCCTGGGGTTGCTCTTTAGAAACAGATTTTAATGCTACTCTTGCATTTGAAGGAGAACCAGACTCTGTATATAAAATAATATGATATGATACGTATATAATATACTGTGTATATTATATAATATAAACACTTTGGTTTGCTTGTTCAGAGGTACTCAAGGAAGCACAAGCGAGCTGGGATGGAATTTACAGACTGCCATGTGAACCAAATTTTCTAGTCTTTTGACCCTTAAACCAGGCTTTTGTCTTAAACTAACTACATTTACACCCGTACTCTATCCCCAGAACCATGTTTTTCTTCTTCACACACATGAAGTAAGAAACAGACGTGTGGAGGTCATCTGCACATTTTAGAGGTCGAAAGCCCATTGATCTATATATATTTTGAGCTTGAAGAAAGACCTACTGTGTTTTATCAGTGTAGGACACCATCTATTGTATGATACACCCCAATTTCATAGATATTGAAATGTGAAAAGTCCTTTTTTTAAACATCTTACAGCCAACAAAATGTAATATTTGCAACCATCTGCGTCCTGGGAAGCTCTGTGATATAACGTTAATATGAGTTACTCAGAATTACAGAGCGACTGTTCAAGGCCCTAACCTGCAGTAGATTAAACCAGTCGGCTCCTCTTGTGGTCTACTGACCTGCAGGAGCATCTGAAACTTGTTAGAGATGCAGGGTCTGGTGGTGCCTGGGTAGCTCAGCAGGTTAACCCTCTGCCTTCGGCTTAAGTCATGGTCCCAGGTTCCTGGGATGGAGCCCTGCATCAGACGCCCTGCTCAGTGGGGAGTCTCTTTCTCAGAAGCCCTACTCTGGGGCGGGGGGGGGTCTGCTTCTCTTTCTCTCTCTGACCGTCACCTTTGCTTGTGTAGGCTTTCTCTTCTCTTTCTCTCAAGTGAATGAATTTTTTAAAAAGTCTTAAGAAAAAGAAAGAGATGCCAGATCTGGGAGTAGGACCCAAGTATCTACATATAATAAGAACCTAGAGTTTCCTACATAAATTAATATTTGAGAAGCATTGTTTTATATTTCTTTCTTTCTAAAGATTTATTTATTTAATTGAGAGAGAGAGAGAGCACTCACAGGGGTGGGGAAGAAGGAGAGAGAGATTCTCAAGCAGACGTGCCTGGAATGCAGAACCAGACACAGGGCTCAATCCCAGGACCCTGAGATCATGACTTGAGTTGAAATAAAGGGTTGGACACTCAACTAACTAAGCCACCCAGGCATACCGAGAAACACTGTTTGAAAGCACATTCTTGGAACTTAGGGTGGGTGACAAGAGGGTAGAATAAGAGGCATCCAGGAAAGCTTATAAGTCTGTGCTCTCTGTAGCATTCCTGCCTTCTACTACCTCTAAATAACCATAGTTAGTTTCATAGTTAGAAAAGTCATGAGTCTTATAGTCATGCCCAACCTGAACTGGTCATTTCTTGTTTGTTTGAATCCCCCAGGTGTGATCTACCATGCCTTTTCTCAGAAAGAGGCCAAAGAGCTCGATGTTCAGGTACAGTGCATGGCAGGAAGTCTGGGAGCAGCAGAGGTGATGACACGGATGGCTTGATCCCCTACCACTGCTTTAGATGTCCTTCCCATGTCTTACTCCTCATCCTTCCAGTAGATGTGTTGGGCTCCGTTGAGATCTGTTGTTCTGATGGCCTGTTTCCAGATGCTGCCCTCTTTTTCCCTTGTTTGGTTAACTGGGACCTCTTGATCCTGTGTCCTCTCCCACTGTGTAGGGGACACTGGCTATGCCCACCTGAAACCTGCCCTGGTGAGCACTGTCATTTGGCTTTGTCACTGCGCCCCCTTCGCTCTTGAAGAGGGCAGGCGATCACATTTCCTAAGTGGCATTCCCGGATTATATCTGGATGCTGCCAGCATGCTTTGTCAGTTTGGCAGACGCTCCACTGGGGACTCCTAATGAGGGAGTTATCAGGAAATCAAGATTTTGAAAGACTGATACACTTTTATTTGGTTTCTTCATGAAGAGGGCCACTTAGGTATTTTTAAAAAGTAAGTAATTGCCCTGTCACGGTAATAATATTGATGATAATGAATCTTTAGTTAGTATCTAAGGTGCAAAGTCGAAGCTGACTGCCCTCCTGACTGTGAGCTGCCTTGAAGGTCGAGTGTATCACATCATCCCTTTGCCAGCCCCACTTCTCCGAAAGGGAGAGTGTGATTATTGACACATTAGCTTCCCAGGGTTTACAGCGTGCTTAGCGCAGCAGGGGGTCAGGAAATCCCCAGCCAAGAGGCAGGACCTGCATAGACAGTGCTGCCTGGGCTATGGCCAGCCTAGGACACAGGCAGCCGAATGAGGAGTAGACCAGTGGAACTTCCCACGTGAGAAGCAGTGACATTTGGAGTTCTCTCAAGAATTTCACAGTATTAGGACAGTTCTTTTGCCCACATGTCCTAGGAGTCTGTGCTGAGTCACGGTCAAGTGCTGTTCTGCTCTTGGGAGAGAGTGAGCCCAGGAGGCTGAGATGCACTGGTACTTCCTTTCCCTAGGTGCTGCAGGAACAGACTTAGCGAGTAGCCGTGACACATCCATGGGGTCAAACCCAAGTAAAGGGGATTGCCACTTGGGCACCCTGTCAGATTCCTGCCCCCCAAGGCGTAGCCCACCCTGGGGCATCAGGTGGTACTGTTTCGCCAAGTGTTCGGATAATTCCTTCAAGGCCATAGATTGCCTTCATCTGGTCGTGACTGAATAAATATTGTTAGCATATGTTTCTCGAGCTTTCTACCCTGCCAAGGATCAGAGAAGCCTGTTCTTCCTAATGTGAAGGGTTTGGGGCTTTTTTCTTTGTAATCCCTTCACAATAACCTCAGAGACGTATAGTAGGAAGTTGAATTTTGATGTGGTTGTTTTGTGCAAATTGGTGTCCGAATTGGTATTTGAGGGTGCCTTTCACATCGGGACAGCTATGGGGAGCTTACCTTCAGCAGAGGAGAGGCTGTGTGGGGCTCAGTCGGGAGGCAGATGGGTCAGGGAAGGCATCCCAACTGCGGTGTCTAGGAGGGCCTGGGGTCTGGGGCTGCCCCCACCAGAACAGTCGTCGCCGTGCCACCCTGTCCCCATGCAGCTCCCGGGAGCCCAGCAGGCCGAGGCCTTCGTGAGGGCCTTCCTGAAGCGCAGCACGCCCCACATGAGCCAGCAAGCCCGCGAGGACCAGCTGCAACGCAAGGCTGTGGTCCTGGAGTACGCCACTCGCCGGAAGCGCAAGGAGAAGAGAAAGAAATCCAAGGGCCTCTCTGCCAGGCAGAGGAGGGAGCTGCACCTCTTCGACATTAAGCCAGAGCAGCAGAGGTATGCCAGGTCTTTCCTGCCTTTCTCCCTGAGGCAGCTTCCTCCTCCTGGAGTGGGTGGGGCTTTGGGAGACCCAGTTCCCCTGAAGCTAAGGGCGCTTCTCCCACTGCCGCCACAAGGGGGCAGCCTCCCTTTCCCAACTCAGGCTGGGTTTGCACTTGGTTTTCACAGCAAGGCACAGCCAGGCTCTCGCTGTTTGTCTGTCTGTGCCTTGCTGTGAAAGCCAAGTGCAAACCTTGCCTGAATTTCTCCTCAGGGAGCAATGGTGCAGCAAGACTTAAGTTTAGTTCGTGAAAAGCCGTCCAGATGAGCACCCCCAGGGCCCCGGGCTGGTGTGGCAGAGACTCGGGCTGTGCTGCCATGGGAGCACCCAGCTGCTCCGCCATCTGTGCAGGGTCCCTGGAGGTCTGAGGGGTCTGCTGGAGCGCCGGCCATCCGGGCTGCATGTAGCCAGCAGGAAGGATGGAGGGACACCAGGAGGGTTCTAGCAGCGGAAACAGGTTCAGGAGGGGGACGAAGTTGTCTGTCAGGTTATCTGCTGTGGAACTAGGATCCGCACCCACTTCCCCATGACCCGGGTAGGGGTCCTTGGCATCAGGCTGCGCTCTGTGCCCTATTGATGTCACAATCCCAAGCTCAGGTTGCCTAACTCTTTACTTCTTTCTACCTTTGCCATAGATACAGCCTTTTTCTCCCTCTGCATGAACTCTGGAAGCAGTACATCCGGGACCTGTGCGGTGGTCTCAAGCCAGACACGTGAGTTGCACGTCTGCAGCCCTGCCCTTTGGGGCAGAACCCAAGGCTTACGATGACTGTGAATGCAGCCTTCAGAGCCAGCTGGCTGCAGAAGTTCGTAGACCTGTGTGCCCCTTCAGAGCTCTCGCTCATGGTCAACGCTGAGGCCTTCTGCTTACCTTCTAGGCAGCCGCACATGATTCAGACCAAGCTGTTGAAGGCAGATCTTCACGGGGCTCTCGTTTCAGGTACCTCGCCTACGAGCCCACAGAGCAGCGTGGCTCTGTGACACAGGGCTAGACACACTCTTGTCACGTGGACGTTTCCACATCACCAGCGTTGAGGCTGGGAGAGGACTAGCGACCCGAGCCAGTTCTGGCCACTTTTTGGATGCACTCTAAATGGTTTGTGTGCCTTTCCACACAGGGACCCCTGCTGCTCTCCTAGGGGGCACAGCAGCTGCTGGCACATGTCCCCAGCCCTGAGCGGAGAGTCCCTTTCATCCATTTCCCCACAGTTTTCAGTCTCAGCTACGGACTCCCAGCTCCCAGTGTCATCTCCAGGGCAGACCTTCCCGAGCATCGTCATTCATCCAGCCGCCCTGCACACAGCTGCCCCCCTGTCCAGCAGGCATCACAACCTGTCCATACCCAGAACAACTCCATCCTCCTCACATCAGTCCCTGCCGTGGTGTTCCCAGCTCCGTTCCCGGTACCAGTGTTTACCCTGGTTGTTTAGGCCCAAAACCTGGGCGGTAACACCTTTCTTCTTCCCTGATCCCTCAGCACCATCCATCAGCACGTCCTACCACCCAAATCCAAGCCACCGCCATCGCCCCTGGATTCCGGTAGAAGCTGCCTCGCCCTCTCCCTGCTGACACACTGCTTCTCCCCAACCAGGCAGCCCGAGGGAAGGTTTTAGGCCAAAACTCGGGCCATGTTTGTCTTCTGCTTCCTTACTGCGGTCTAAAAGGCCCCTCTGGCTCTCCCGAGCACCAAGTCTAACCACACTGGCCTGCTTTCTGGTTCTCACACAACAGGCTTGGCCCCACCTCAGGCCTTTGCTGTAGTTCCTTCCCTCTGCCCAGAGTTCTGTGTGTCACAGACTGACTGCTTCTCAGTATTCAGGTCCCTACTCACACGTCACTTCCCCCGAGGGCCTACCATGACTAACAGTGAACCTTCTCCCCATGACCTTGTGTATTTCTTCATAACAGTTACCACGATCAGAAAATGCAGTCGTCTGATGTGGCACACATTCCCTCCTACCTTTAGAACATCAGCTCCTTGAGAGCAGAACCGAGAACAGTCTTGTTCACCCTCGCGCCCAGCACCGACCTCGGACGGTGCCGGGCACGTGGCAAGTGGTCGGTGACTTGTTTACAGGCTACACGGGGACATGGGTCAGGAGAGCCAAGGAGCCGGCTGCCTGTGGTGGCAGTTCGCCTCAGTCACTGCTTCACCGCCTGTAACAAGATCCCATTCTGGCCAGAGTTTGGTGGGTCGTGGGAAGGATGTGATGCACTGGTGTTCCTTCAGATTCCATCGCTGAGACTTGGCCCCATCCCAGCAACCTGTGGATCTTGGTGGTCCTGGACACACATGTGACCTCTTTGCTCCAGAGTCCTTCCCAAGACACCCGTGGCTTCAGGCCCTCCAAAGGACATCTTGTCAGAACAGCCAAGAGGCTACAGAGCCATAGGCAAGGGATTGGGACCCTGGACTCTCATGCAGCTTGGTCCCTGTCCAGCTGAGGAGCCCCCCACTCCCCACCGCCCCCACCTAGCTGGTTGTGGCTGCCCAGCACCCCCGAGGCTGAGGCCTTGAATGCCCTTTTCCTTTGCAGTCACAAAGTCCAAATGCCCATCCTATGTGGGTGTTACAGGAATCCTCCTACAGGAAACAAAGCACGTTTTCAAAATCCTCACCAAAGAAGACCGCCTGAAAGGTACGGAACTGCCTCAGGGTGTGTGGCCTGTGGCCTCCCTGGCTTCGTCGGCCCTTTCCTTGTGGCTTCATTGGGGCCATTTGGCCTCTCAGGTCAGCACAGATTGCAGGTCCTGCTGACAGTGCATCCCACACCTGCCACCTGCTGAGAGCGCCCCTGCCCTCACGGCTCTCCCCAGGGCATCTGGAGCCCAGCCAGCAGCCACAGCCAGATACGACTGGAGACAGGGCTGCTGGGCTGCACTTCCAGATACGAGGGTCCGTTTCCATGACTGAGACCCTCCCCTGCCCCAACCTGCTGCCCTGCCCCAAGGAGTGGAGCTAAGCAGACCCTGAGGGGAGCCAGCTTAGTGCTTGTCCCTGGGGTTCCAGGATCTGGCCCTTTCCGGTAACCCTTTGGGTTCCAGGAAAGCAGGTGCAGCCTCCCCCGCTGGGTGTGCAGAGCTCCTCGTTCTGGCAAAGACGAGCATAAGCACCTGCGCTGTGGACGTTTCCACACCCCTTACCAGCAGATCTGAGATTGCAAAACCACAATGGGAGGCTTTTGTTCCTTTATTTTGGAGGTATTTTTGTGGTTTTTGTTGTTGTTGTTTTCTCTCTGCTTCCTTCTGTTTCCTTGTATGTTCTTGTCTCATTTTAAACCTCAAAAAGTGGTGTCTGGGTGCCCTCACTCATGGCATAAAGCCGTGAGTCAGTCTAAAAACCATGCCGGGAGACCCGTTTCTCGCACTTTTTCTGGGAGTTTGGCTTAGAGCCTTTGACCCTAAATAGTGTTGAGTTATACTCAAATCTGAATACATCGGTCTTACGGCAGAAAAACGCCCTGTCGTCCTGTGCTGCTGAGCTTTGTGGACTCTCCGTTCCTTACTAGCTTACGTTCTAATGCAGACATTTTAGGAAGGTCTTGTGCTTCAGCGTGAGCTTAACTGTCAGGATTTTTTTTTGCCTTGTCCTTTTTCCCCTGTTTTTTTTTTTTTCCAGTCATCCCCAAGCTAAACTGTGTGTTCACAGTGGAAATCGATGGCTTCATATCCTACATTTATGGAAGCAAATTCCAGCTTCGGTCAAGTGAACGATCTGCCAAGAAATTCAAAGCGAAGGGAACAGCTGACCTGTAGTTCTCTGCTGCGGAGACGGCTGTTTGGGACCCCCAGGACCAGGGACACCTGCGTGCCCACCTTTCAGCGGAGACACGGCTGGGCTGGTTCTGCTTCTAGATCACCCCCAGCCCATTAACACCGGAGTTAAGAACAGTTCGTCATCTGGGAAGAAATGCGCCTTACTGAGCAAAGTGAGGGAACGGAGGGGTGTCTTTCTAGGTGACGACGGGTGAGCATTGCTCCCACTGAGGAAGTTGCCACCTTCCCCGTGAAGTGGCTTGTTCTTCCGCCCATCCGAGTGTGCCACGCCGGGCACAGCCTGGTGCTATGGTTCCCTAATCCAGCTGCTACTGCCCACCCCCCTGTAGGGAAATGGTGGCCAACGTGTAAATATACAACCTCTTCCAGAACCATTGGTGCCACTTGGCTTGTGAAATGTTTTTCATGGCTCAGACTCAAGTTTCTCTGTGAATGGCTGTTTCATTAGTAGCCTTCTCTCCCCACTTCCGCGAGGACACTTGACAAGAACACTCACCTGCCATGAAGCTGCCACTGTGCCCGCCTGTTTCCAGGATGCCCTGTTGTCCCCACAGCCCACCTGGGGTCACTGGGTCCTGTGCCCTAAGGACTGTGCCCCTGAGGGCCCAGGCCAGGCGGGACACTGGCTCTTGGTGAGCATCCTAATGAGGCCACACCAGCTGCTCCCCAGAACCAGGCTGAGGCCTCCGACGGTGGACCAGGGCTGGCCACGTCCCCACAGCTGTGGCTCAGGGCCGGTTGTGGAGGGTGCTGAGGTAGCCTGCAGTCCGGGCTCCTACCTCCACTGCCCCAATAGAGCTGTGGCCTTGGAGGTGTAAACCCCTGGGATGGGGCAAGGTGCGGAATCCTGCTGACCCATTCGTCCAGTCCTGACATGCTTGGGGGCCTCCGTGTCACCAGCTGGCAAGTGGGGCCATGAGACCAGATGAGGGTTTCCTGAAGGGGGATCCTGGGACTTCCAGCACCTGCAGTAGCGTCACCAGGACACCCGTTTGAAGCAGCCAGCTCCTGGGCTGCCGTCAGACTCCAGGGGCCTAGACGACTTCGTGGGTCTCTCAGACCCCAGCTGGCTCCTCCGGTCACTGAAGTGTGAGGATCGTGGATCCCAGATGGTGGTGCAAGTGTCTTCCAGCTCTGACATCTGGACTGTGATTTAAGATTTGGGACTCTCAGGATGGGGTTTTCCGGATGCTGGAAATCCTGGAAAAGATTGTCAGTGACAGATTTCTCAGGTTCTGAAGAGTAAACATGAACGTTCCCCCCAAAAGCCATAAATTATGGTAAAAAGCTGTCTTTCTGGACAATGGCTTCCATTTTAATTTAGTTTGCATTTCTTAGCTATAATGTCTAATTAAGACATCTGTTAAATGTCTATAATATTAATTTGATGGGGGGTTCTAATAGAACTGTATTGGAATTGTCCATTTAATTAACCTCGTGGGCCTTTAATGGATGTCTTAAATAGACATCATTAACAAGAGTGCTAGACAAATTAAAATTAGAGTCAATAACATTCTTGGTAATTTTTCCTGAGCTGTGAAGGACGAGTGCTGCTAAGTAGACAGACGCAAAGACGGGCTGCATAGAGGAGTGTGGGGGATGGTGTCCCCAGCAGGGCTCCAGCATGGACGAGGCCCCAGGTCGGGCTCAGCCATTCTGTGTCCTGGCCTCCCCTTCGTGCACCTCCCACACACGACGCTTGCTGGCCTGTCCGTCAGATCAAGCTCTGATGAGGAGAAGGTAGTGAGGGAGGAAGAGGAACCTAAATCCCGGGCCTCTGCATGGCTCACATTGAGATGGAACAGACATGAGACAGGACAGACGAGAATGGGGCAGGATGGGCTGGGCTGGGGGGTGGAGTGCAATAAGAGGGGAGGAAGTGGGGAGCATGCCCATTTTCCCCCACCACTCAGCAGTCTCCCTCAGGTGAACTACACTTCCAAAGCCAGGGCTGGGTTCCCCATCTCCACATCACAGGTGGCCTCTCAGGGCAGCTGACAGTTAACCACTGCCTCCCTCCTGAGGCACTTGTGTCCCCACTCTCCCTGACAGTCCCCCACCTCCTGGCCACTCCCTCTCTGTCCTTTCACGGATCCTCCTCCTCCTCCAAGCTTCTAAATGTTGGAACGCCCTGAACTCTGTCCTTGGACTCCTCACCTTTCCCCTCAGCTGGTCCCACCCACAACCCCCAACACACCTGACTCAGAAGATCCTGTTGGCAACCCTGCTTCTCCTCAACCCCATGGCCAAATCTGGAACTTTATCGTCGGCCTCCCCTAATTCCAGTGGGAGCTCCTTTGAGCTCACAGTGGCTCTGTTTTGATGGCTGATGTGTCCCCAGTGATCTAGAAGCACTCGCTGACCTGGAATGGGTGCTCAGTGAACATTCGCCGGGGGAATGGAAACCACGGCTGGTTGACCAAACCCCTGGGAGTGTGATGAGCTCCTGACCTGAAGAGGCTGGGCAAGAATCAAGGACTTTCCCCCACAAGGGCGCTCCCCCTCTACCCCCATCTCGGTGAATGGCCACTCCCTCTCCATTTAGGTCAGAAACGCAGGAGGCCTCCTACCCCCTGCCTGGTGTTGGCTCCTGCCCCCATCCGATCTCATGAATTGCTGGTGGCTTTCCCTCGTCTTCCCTGCGCCTGCTGCTCTCAGCCACCCTCTCACCACCCCTAGAGGCCTCCCTGCCTCCACATGTGGCCCCACCACAGCTCAGGTGACCGTTGTGAAGCAGGACTCAGATTGTGTCACTCTTCTGCTCAAAACCTACAAGTGACTTCCCAGTACACTTAGAATTAAACCCAGTGTCTGACCAGGGTCAGCAAGGGCCCCCCAGGACCTAAGCCCAGCCTGCCTCTCCCAGCTCCCCCAGTATCCCGTCCCTGTGCCTTCTCCACAGCTCTGTCCCACTCAGACCACTCGCACCTTCCCAGGACCTGTGAGCACAAGGCAGCCCCCTCCTCTGCACTCAGCTCTCCACCGCTGGCCGGCCTCCCTCAGCGGTCCCCCAGCGGTCCCTTAGCATGTGACCTCATTTCACACTGGACACAGCGCTTGTCAATAACCTTCCCTGCTGGGTCATTGTCGTTTTCTTCCAGCAGAACATACGCATCATGAACTCCAAGACTTGGCCTGGCTCGTCCACCCCTGCAACCATTGTACCTCAGCGCCCTCCAGAGCACTGCCCTCCACGTAATAAGTGCTCCGTTAAATACTTGTAGTCTGACAGCGAGCCGAGGGTGTGGCCCTAATGGTGGCTAAGGGTGGCCACACCCAGCCGCAGTGACCTCCATCTGGCCCTGACAGACGCCTCCCCTCACTGTACCTTTCCACAGCAGAGCAGCACCGCGTCCTGTGACCCCCAGGCCACCCCAGCCTTTCAGGCAGGCAGGCACCCCAGACAGCAGCAGTGCCTGGACACCGTGGGGGTCCTTCCTGCGTCCCTGCCAGGTGAGAGCTTACACACTGCGGGCAGCTGTGACCTGCAGCAGGCGTGGCAAACCCCCTCTATCATCTCCAGTTTCACCCACTGGACCCAGGGTGCAGGGGCAGGCAGGCGGGGCTGGTGCTGGGCAACCCGGCCTGGAGACCCTGAGCTCAGTCAGGAGCCTGGCACTCAGGAAACCTGAGTTCAAGGTCAAATTAGTCTTGACTTTAATTTTCAACCACAAGGGACATGGCTGAGTGTGGTGTTTATGGTAGATTCATTGAATCTGCAGGAATTAAACTGCAGCCCCTGTCAGGAGGGAGGGAGGGAGCTGCGGGTGCCTGCCCCTCTGTTCCAGGGACATCTGCCTTGTGGTGGCTGAGAGGGAAAAGCACCCCTAGTTGCTCTTCGTCTCCCCGGAAGGGGTGTGAGCGGAACGCGGTTCCTAGTTACACCGCCGCTAACCTGTGGTGTGCTGGCCCGTGGCTGGGGGCTGGGAGCACGAGCACCTCACTGGCAGATAGCTCCGTCAGGCTGTAGTTTAGCGTTCGTGACCTTGCTGTGTGTGTTACACTTGGATTAAAACTGTGCTTGTCAATGACCCGCTGAGTCCGCGGTGTGGCTGCTTCCTCAGCATCCGAAAGGGAAGCATCTCCCTGTCCTGGTGTCTTGCTCCCGATGGCCATGCCCATTACCCTCACGGCTCTTGCCCGAGAATCAGGGGTTTCTAGCAGGGAAACCCAAAGTGCTCACGGGGGCGTTATACCCCGAAATTCACCCTCTTAACATCTCCCACCTCTCTCCCCTGGACCTCCAGGGACTATGACGTCAGCAATCCTGTCACAAAGGAGTGGTTGCCACAGACCTGGTCCATAAGAGGCTCTCAATGAGTGCTGGTAACAGCAGCCATGAGGGGGGTGGGCTGGGCTGGGGAGGGACACAGTGCCCATGGCAGGGGGACCTGGAGGGACTGGCAGGTCTGGAGGTAGAGCAGGCTTCCCTTGGGAACTGACTTTAAGATGAGGCCAGAGAGCTGAGTGGGCTTCAGGCAGGAAAGGGACCCCCTGCAGAGGAACCTGAGGTGGGAAGTAGGGCCTGGAGGGGACAGCAGGGACTGGCAGCTAGTGCCTGGAACATTGGGCAGGGTGACAGAAGCCAGGGCAGAGAGGGGCCAGAGTGAGGGCTGGAGACCAGCAAGGAGGCTGACGGTTCTGAGGGTCATCTGTGGCCTGACCCACGGTGTCGGCTTCAGGGATACACAGAAACAGGTTTGAGGGGTGCACATACCACCCCAAGAATAAGATCTTAGGTTCACATGCATCCCCCCAGGTCTGCATCTGACCCTCCACTTACAGCCACATGGTCTGTGAGGTTGGAGTCCAGCTGGGTGAGCAGAGGTCGGCCCCAGCCCGCCAGGCTGATAAACAGAGGGGGTGAGAGCAAGGCCCGCAGGGCTGGGAAGGTGGGGGAAGCCACTGAGATCTTCTCAGAGAAACGAAGAGGGGACAGGTGGGCAGATCGGCAGGTGGGGGAGGAAGAAGGAGCCCTGGGTCCAGGGTCAGAAATGAGGAAGATGGCAGAGCTGGGCCAGGGATGGGGAGTGGTGTGGGCACATCCCCGGGATGTTTTTACCTGGCTTGGCTCTATGACCTTAGGCAAGCCACCTCCCAGTGCCTCAGTGTCCTCATCTGTTAAATTTAAGTCTCCTGAATAAAGCACAAGGAGCAAGGTTTACCGCGTGGTCTCACCTGAAAACTCGGAGTTCAACAGTGTCCCGTCTCATCTTCCAAACACACGGGACCTGTCGCTTGTCAAAGCTGTCCCCTCCAAGCCCACACTCTTGGTGGAGCCTTGGAATATCCCCCAAGAAGTCAGCCCTACTGGCCTCTGTGCTGGCCAAGGACACTGAGATCACCCGTTCCAGGATCACCCAGCCACGGTGTGGCTAGGCCCCCTCCCCAAATCAGAACCCACGACGGCTCCCTTTCCCCTGAATTTCAAGCCGCGCTGCCCGCCAGGGTGAGGACAGGTCTCTGGTTTGCAAGTCAGGACCCCTGCCGGCTGCTGGCTCCTGGCGGTGCTTGTGGAACTTAAAGACCGCAATAACTATTGAACACCCTATTACGCGGCTGCCTAATTAATGCAAATGAGAGTTACCGTCTGCTCACAGAGGCTGATGCTTCTCCGAGGAGGCCCTGCCAGCCTCCCGGGCCCCATTCCAGGGCCATTTATGGGGGCAGCCCCATTCTGGCTTGGTTGAGTTACCGGTAAGTCATGGCCCTAAGTAATGAAGACAGAGTGCTCATGGATCCCCAGAAGTCAGGCAGCTCTGGCTCCAGTCCCCGAACCAGAGGCACTCCCTCCCAGCTTCTATCCTCAGACCCAAAGGCTCAGCTGTGTCCTGAAGCCCAAGGGGCAGAGACTCTCGGCCTTCTGGCAGGGAGACCAAGGAGCCTGTCCCTCAGTCTCTGCACGGAATGTAGTCCTCTGAGGCCTGTAGGGCCAGGCCCCATCCCTCCAGACTGCCCCCTGCCCCCGTCCTGGAGCTGCAGGCCAGGTTTGCTGGGACCAGTCAGGTTTAGCACAGTCCCGGGCAAACCGGAGCCATTGGCCATCCTACTCCAGCCCTGCTAGGATGCTCTCGCTGGTTCAATATCCAGGTCCTTTTAGCTCCTAGGGGGACAAGGATCATACTGAAGGCCACCTTCTCTGAGAGGCCTTCCCACGCAGCCTGTCTTAGTCAGTCCCCTCCCTGCTGCTCACCCCTGGCCACATAGTAGAACTGCGTAGCCAGTTTTTCAAATAGTACCAAAGCTCAGAGCTCATCCCCTAAAATTACACCAGAATCCCTGGGTGCGGGACCCAGGTATCTGTAGGTTTTTACTCAGCGGTAGAAAAATCTGAGTTCAAATCCCAGCTCAGACACTGCATGGTCCTTGGGCAAGTCACTCGGCCTCTGGGAGTCTGGGCTTCCTTGTTGAAAATAGGAATATCTATCCCATGTAGAAAGAAGCCAAGAGGGCCAGGCACAGAGTAAGTCTCATTAGGATATGCTCTGTCCTGGCTCTTTCTGTTGCTGAATGGTTGGTTCCTGAG